TACTAATTTTATAGTTTTGCACCTACACACTATCAGCATCCTGCCCTCGAGTGGTACATTTGTTAAAATTAACAAGCCTACATTGACATACACACTCTTGCTTTCAAAAATTTAGGTCTGTGAGCCATTTGGAGTTAATTTTTGTGAAGGGTGTAAAATCTGTGTCTGGATTCTTTTTTTTTTTTCTTTTTTGCATGTGGCTATCCAGTTATTTTAGCACCTTTTGTTACACAAATTATCTTTTCTCCACTATATTGCCTTTGCTCCTTTCAAACATGAGTTGAATGTATTTGTGTAGGAATATTTCTGGGCTCTCTATTTTGTTCACTTGATCTGTTTTTTCACTACTACCATACTACTTTGATTACTGTAGACTTTAGAGTAAGTCTTAAGGTTGGATGGTATCATCGGTCTTCCAACTTTGTTCTCCTTCCGTATTGTGCTGGCAACCTGGATCTTTTGCCTTTCCATATAAACCTTAGAATAAGCTCATCAACATCCACAAAAATCACTTGCTGGGAGTTTGATCGTAATTGCACCAAATCTATAGATCAAGTTGGAAAGAACTGACATCATTACATCTTCTAATACATGAACATGGAAATATCTATCCATATATTTCTAAGTTTAAAGAGAAATAACATTTATCAGAGGCAATCTATGTTTAATCCCTTCAAAAATAAAATGTCTTAACAATTCTATATTTTTACTTCTTGACAATTTTCCCAGATAAATATTTTAGAAGCCATTATGTACCTCCAGCTCATCAGTGTTCTTAGAGACTCTTTTCCTCTATCAGTTCTGGTGTCAGTATTCAGCAGTGCAGAGGTTCAGAGAAAATAGAGCATCTAAACAGCACACAAGCTGTCTAAATGGACCATTTGTCTCACTGTCAGACTTTGATGCACATTTTCTTCTTCCTCATGTGCCTCAGGGTTGCAGCAGAGTAAGATTTCTCTTTATTCCTCTCCCTTCAGTTTAGTTGCTGGTAGATAGTGACAAGACCTGATTATGGTTACTTTGAGGTATGAGCCAAGTTGAGACCTTTCTTTGTTTTGTTCAGGCCATTTGAGTCTGTGTGTGCTGATATGGACAGAAATCACCTATGGAGGGAGCAAATCTCGTTTCTTTACCTGTGCAACCAATTCTTAATGGTGATGGCATTACTGAAAACTGTGTAGTACTGAACGGTCACTTCACCTTATTTCTATTACTGTACATATGGTTTTATCATTTCTCCCTATAATTCTGTTCAAGTAGATGGGAATAAGACAAATATTTAAAAGGTAGATCACAATGTTTTCTATCCATAAAACTCTCCAGTTATGGAAGAGTTTTACCCTTAAATCTGCATTAATCCCAGTAATACATGTTAGTTCTTCTCTGTCTTATTATAACTCCGTGTATCAGAAACATTTAGTGAGATTCACTTTGTGAATTCTAAGTAGGTGTTTAGAGGCAAATCCATCAGTAACAATGGGGTAACCCGGGAACATTCTTGTAGATTGATTCTTTGCACAATTTCAAGCTGTGTCCTACCAAGACTCTGTCCCACCCCTAAGACCTATCTTTGTCTCAGCTGTTTCACTGCCTTCTATACACGTGTGAGAGCGCACGCACATGCACACACATACACACTCTCACGCACATTCTTGTTCCCATCCCTCCCCACTTCACCTTTGCACCACGTTCATGGGATCTGTACATGAAAGGAGAGATTTACTAAGGCTTCTCTTCATGTCCTCCTCAACTCTTTTACTCTTCCAGTCAGTCCTAAACATCATCAGCTAAACTTTGATAAACCTTCTCTGAATGGAGCTAGAAAAGCTTAAAAAGGAAAGAGAAGAATATAATGTTTTAAGCTAAAAAAAAGTAAATGGACAAAAATTTCCATCTAACTTGTTTTCACATTCTGAGTTTTAGAATTTAATAGGAATGTATGATAAATTAATTTTCTCAAATGAATAAAAAAGTTGTATACCTTATACCACTATAGATCTATCTAAAGTGATGAGGAATTAGGGGGTCCTAAACCAAACCCACTTAGTAGCAATAAAGGTGAAACTTACAGAGAAGCAAAAACCTTTATGTTTAATGTGCTTTAGAGTGAATAAAAATATACTGCTCCTTAACCTAGATCTGGCAATTCCTAGAAGCCTTAAATCCTAAAACAGCTGTATAATTACAGAGCTTATATCCACCCCACTCTTGTAAGAGCTCTAGGGGAATCAGCGAAATGAGGGAAATGGGATTGTTGATTCAAGGATGTCATTTTTCTGAGTCATTAACCACAGCCCACCACACCCAGGATGCTGGAAATGTTTTTGAGTTCACCATTGAATTAATGATGTCTGGATCTTCAGAGCAGCAAACGTCCCTGGCACTTTATATGTTTTTTTCAAATACCTTAAGTCAAGTGCTGTACTGATTTGATTAAAATTGACTCCTGAAACTTCATTTCAAAGAAGACTTTTGAATTTTGATGAGGTCTTCCTGGCAAGTCAACCTCATAGATTATTTAATGTGGATATATGATTCAGAGTAACTTGGAATTAGAGTTGCCTCACCAATCATGAGTGGGAAAGTTAATAAAAAGGGTTTTTAATTTTGTTAATTTTTTATTTTGATAAAATTTAAAACAAAAATTGTCATAATAGACAGGGCACTATCACATACCCTTTACCAGATCCACCAATTGTTGGCATCCTCTCCTCTCTCCTTTCCTCCTTCAAACCACTACCACATTACTGACTCTCCCTTTCTCCTTGTGTGTATGTATACACATTTCATGCCGCTCTAACAGTACCAATGACTGGGTGGCTTATAACCAACAGAAGTGTACTTCTCACAGTTGTGAAGGCTGGAAGTCAAGATCAAAACACCAGTAATTCAGTACCTGGTAAGAGCCAGCTCCTGGTTCTTAGATAAACATCTTGCTGTCCTCACCTCATGGAATGGGCAAGGGAGCTCTCAGGGGTCTCTGATAAGGGCATAATCCTATTCATGAGCGCTCCACCCTCAGAACCTAAGCACCTCCCCAAAGCCCCCACCTCATAATACATCATATTAAGGACTAGGTTTCACCATATGAGTGTTGGGGACACTAAAACATTCAGTTATAGCACACTTCAATAACTACAGTACAATGATCAAGATGAGGAAATTTGACCACTTATATGCACTATCCACATTCTAACTGTGTCAGTGTCCCCCACCAATTCCCTTTGGCCCCCACCCCATCTAGATCCAAGCCAGGATTATGCTTTGCATTTAGTTGTCAGTCTCTGGGGACAGGCTTTTTTAGCCTAATTTAAATTACCAAGGATCTCAAAATCAGTTCTAGCTGTAATTTCTCTGTAGATGAATTCTGTAAAAAGAAGATTCATGTATTAGATGATAAAGAAGTCTATGTTTATGGCTTACCCCAAATTTGACCAGTGCAGATGTGGTTTAATGCACGTCTTTCCTGGAAGGGAAGGAAAGACCCCTGCCCTATATCACCCTCCACATTCCAGGGCTTTAAGAAGAGCCGTGCTGATCTCCACTTTCTTCCTGCATTAATCTGGAAGTTATTTCCTGCTGATCAGTAAGGGAAGCTAATTTGTCATAAGTGGGTTGAACAGCTGTGGAGGGAGAGAATGACTGGGTCCCCTAGAATGTATCTCCCTTTGGGCCTCTCCTGGTCCTACCACTGTCACTGGAAGACCTTAGATCACTTTGATCTTTGAGTTCTTATTCAAGGAAAACTTCCTTATGAGGGAAGAGGAGCTGGGGAAACTAAGCAGTTAAGGAGAGCTCATCCATAGTTTGAATAAAATGACCTAGTGCATTCCTCAGGTCTTAGAAAATACTGGGGCTTAAAGCAAAACCACACACCCAGGAGGCCACTACCCCCTTTGGAGCTGCTTTGTTTGGTGGGAGCTGCTTTTGTGTGAGCGACTAGGGCAGCTCTGTCTGCTCTGGGCAGGATGCTTTTCCTCTCTTCCTTCCTCAGCATTTCCCCTCACAGCCCCTCTGCCCTGCTTCTTGCCCTGTCCCATGTTCCCCAACAGTGAGGGACTTTATAGTGAAAGAACTGGTGGCATGAAGGAGGGAAAGCAAACTCTCCTATGTTCGAGGACTTCCTGCCCCTGATGCCACCCTCTGCCATCCTCCACTCTCTACCCACTCTGCTGCCCTGAGTGCCTGACCCCTGCCCTCTGCCTCCTTTCTGTCCCTCCTCATTTCCTGGCCTCCCCATGTCCCCCTCTGGATGCTTCCCTATAGACCAAATGAGTGTCATAGTGGCTTAGAAATTGAAGAGACAGAACCCCAATCAGAAAGTCTTGAAAGCCATGTTTAGGTTAGAAGTGTCACTATATACATACATTGTGAGTGTAGCACAATCCATCCTCAATGTCAGATGTATCATGACTTACAAGTCACATCTATGGGCTGACCTGGTGGCCTAATTGCCTGTGTAATGTAGTTACTATAGGAAAAAAGCATGCTGAGCTCCAAAAAACCTCCTTGTAACACTACTTATTCCTAATTAGCTGTCCCTATTTTATGACTGAGTGTGTTCCTTGTGAGCCTAAGTGGGTTAAGATTTTCTAGATCGACTGCGTTCTTGGTGAGCATATATGGATAAAATTTCCTAATCAACCAAGTTTAACTGGCCTGGTAAAACAGAGCAACTCTGAAACGCTGTGAAATTCAAGGCATGAAGACAGTCTATTTTTGTTTATTTTCACAAAGTATCGTTCTGGTATTGCAGAGTTCTGAATAAATAAATTTGAAAACTTCAAAGTTTTAACCTAAAATTCCAGTGTTGTTTCTGGTGATCTGTAACCCCAGCTGGAAGTAAGGAAGCCAAACCTAGTTCGGACAGAGCAGGTGTGGACATTTTTGGACACCGTTGTCCTCCTCTGCTTGCTTTTCGGCTCAGGAAATGCTATATGTGGAAATTTACCTCTGTCACTTCCCTCTCCTGTTTTCTCCGCGGTGCACTTTATAAACAGCGGATCACGGAAAGTCGAGAGAGCCAAATGAGTATCGAAGAGAGGAAGCATCTCATCACCGGGAGAGAGGAAGCATGGAAGGCAAAAGGCAAAGGAGCTGCCAACGATTCCACCCAGTTCACTGTGGCCGGCAGAATGGTGAAGAAAGGTGAGCGCGCATGTGCGCGGGGGCGTGCACGTGTGAGCATGCGCACGTGTGGGCGCGGCCACCTCCTCGCCGGCGCACAGGAAGGTGGTGTGAGTTTACCTCAGTTTGAAAAGTCTAGCCATGGTCCTTTAAGTTTTTACTCTTTCTGAAGTTGTATAAATGCTTTGGGGCAGGTTTTATGAGATGTTCCTACCGAAAACCTTCAAGTCCCAAATAGCGCTCTTCAGTGCAAAAAGCATAATTCCATCGTCGCGTTTCAGAATTTAGCCATTTGGAAATTAAGCACAGGTTTCAAAAGCAGTTGCAAATCAGCTAAGAAATCTTAGTCCTTTCCCATAATTGCTTTTCAATTATTTTCAATTTCTTGCTCTCTGGTAATCAGGTAACGCAAATAAGCCTTTCTCAGTGAAGATGGAGTTAATCTCTTCTCCGTTTTAGGATAATTCTGAGGTTCCTTTCCATCAAACCGAATTCTCTGGCTTACAGAGCCCTATGTCTGGAAGTGTTTTAATAGATGTCAAAAAATGTATCCATTTCCAAGGAAGTGGGATTGTCCTGCGGACGGTCATGTCTCTGCAGCTGAGCTCTTGGCACTGATTTGAAGCTGGTGTTCAAAGATTTATGAAATTAGGTGATGTTTATCATGTGATGAGTAAAGTCACCAGAGAGCTTCGAGGCTGCGTATCCTGTAGGAAATGGTTAAAATGTGGGGTCCCTTTTATATGCACATAGTTTCATTTTATAAATTATTGTTTAAAAGCAAAGGTCCTAACATAGTGATAAAAGTGTTCACATTCACTTAGAGTTGACTTATTTTGTCATTAGCTTCCGAGGCTTATGTTTCCCTCTCAAAACTTTTTGGGATCCTTACCCCATAAATAGTGCCTAACTCACTGTGGGCTCGTAATAAATATTTGCAGAAGGAAAAGAGGAAGGGAGGGGAAGCCCTGGAATTGTGATTAATTCAAATCTTGGTAGAAGAAAACAAGATCATTTACTCTCACAGAATGAGGTAGTATTTGTTTAGCCACCACATTACTGAACTGTATAATCTGATAAAACAACTCTAGCATAAGCCCTGTATTAATAAAAGCACGCCCTGAGGCCCACGGTGATCAAGAAGAGCTCAAGCAGATCACTTGAACTAGAGCTTAAATCTTCCAACTTCTGGTCTAGACTTCTATCCTGATGACATTTTTGGTTTCTTTTTTTCTTCTTCCATCTTAAAAATCATAATTTACTTCTAAGGGGGCCCTTACTACCAGGTACCATTGCCCTTGTCCACAGCGATGTCAGAGTAAGTAGACTTGGTCTTTTGCAGGTTTGGAGAGCAAGGTCAGAGAATTTCCTGTCCCTTGGTGGGTTTGCATTCACATTTTACTCAGGAAATAATTTTCTTGTACTTCTAATCTGATGAAAAAACTGAACCCTATTTTTCTAATATTTTTACCATCTACTCCATTACATGTTTCACTTGAGCCATTGGCTCTTTTTGACATGCCGTAATGTGGCCCAGTGTGCTATAGTCACTACAGAATAAAATAGCCGTAAAATATACCCTACACTACAGCTGCAGACTCCCCATCTCATCAGGATACTGCTTATCTGCTAATTGCCAAGAGGTATACTGTACCCTGGGTTTCATTCCATCACCTCAGAAACTTCCGTTGGCCCCTAGCGTCCCTAAGTCTTTCTCCCTTACTGACGGTCCTAGATTCTACATAGCAACGAGTACTCCACAGGTTTCTGTGACATTCTAGGATTCTCTTGAAAAGTATTCCAAGCATGCCTTTGAATAAAAGATGTGAAAATGTCCTCCCCAGAAAGAGCAGGTGACTGGTTATTGCAGGTGGAATTCATTGAAAAGAAGTCTGGGGAGTGCTTTGTTTTGTTTTAACATGGTGTAATTTAAACCTTTATGCCCCTCCCCCATTACAGAAAATCCTTATTTATAGCTGGGAAAGAGGTCCCACCTTTAGGAGCTATCGGGCATGCTGCCGCCTGAATGGGCAGCAGGGGGCGCCCTGACAGAATGGAGGGCCAGGTTGGTTACCTTGAGTCCTGCCTGTTTATTAGCCTCAAATTAATGAAAGACGTTTGTGCTAATGAACACTTCCCATGTCTCTTCTTGCATCCTTTTAGTAATGATTTACTGCCCCAGCCTGTGACACCAATTTTTATTTATCTTCATTGTCTTTCAAGAAGGTTTACTTCTCACTGATATAGCGGTCTGGTGATTGAAATAAATATTTAAAATTTTATGGACCTCATTAAGCAAAAATATATGTACATATTGAGAAGCACTTCCAGAATAGCACCTGAAACTTAAGTTTTAAACTACCTTTCTGTATTTTTCCTTAAATTTTTTTATGCTATAATACATCCCCCTCCAGCTCATGAGAGGAAAGAGCAGAGCAATTCATTTATTTTTCCTTGTACGTGAGGTGATTTACTCTGGACAACGATATTCTCTGGGTGTTGTTTGGATTTTTTTTGAGGGTTGCTTAAAGTGGTGATGTCATTGTTAAGGTTTTTTGCTCTATCCAGTGCCTTCTTTTTGCTGGTATTCCTTTCTTTCTCTATCATGTACCGTACCACTTCTCCTTTAAAGATTCCCCACCTGGCTTCTCAATAAATACATGTGAAAGCAGATCGCTACTTCCCAGGAACACTTGGGATAGATACGACCCTCCAACAATCAGAAATCCACTTAAACATATACTCCTCTGTGTCTTCCTTCTTAAAGGTTAGCACTCCTTGGCTTATTGATCAATAAAGACACACTCTCAAGTGATGCCCCCAAAGGCCATACTGTCCCTACCTCACCACAGCCTGCAAGAAAACTCCAGTGCTGGGGGCCACTTGCCAAATAGCATAACGCAGCCCATTCTCTACTTCCTCTGTGGGAGACGGTGCAAATACACTTCCTCTTCAACTACATTCACCACCCTAAAAAGCCTTGTGAACTCACATCTCCATTTGTTCAAATATATTCTGATTGCCTTATGTTCTCCTATTCAGATGATGTACATGCTATAGACATATTTTCCCACATCTTCACTGTTCACTTTGGAATGACAGCTTGTCAGCTACTACAATTCTTACAAACCATAAAATTCTGTCTAACCTGCAGTTGTCCCACCTAGTCATGGTACCTGCCAAATGTACACATGGGTGTGCACACTGCATGTGTGTAAATTCTGTAAGTTGTAACATCTATATTGGGACCAACAGACATCCATCAGAGTCCTGGGAATTTCCAGAAACAATCCTGACAGTGATCCAGAAAAGATTCCAGAAATTTCCAGAAAGCAAATACTGAATAGTTCCTTGTTGGTTCTGCAGGTCTGGCATCACCCACGGCCATAACTCCAGTAGCGTCCCCTCTTGGCAGTAAAACAAGAGGCATGACACCAGTTTCCAAACCCCTGGAAGGTAAGTCCCCCAGGTGCCTGATAAACCCCTGGTCTGTGATCACTGAGCTCCTCTGTGACACTCTCTCACTGATTGTTTCTATCTGCCTAGATATTGAAGCCAGACCAGACATGCAGTTAGAATCAGACCTGAAGTTGGACAGGCTGGAAACCTTTCTGAGAAGGCTGAATAACAAAGGTACCAAACAGAAGCCAGAGGGAAGCTTCGGTTTATATGCTCTTTCTGGCACATGGTGATTCGTATTTTAATGAGTAGCTAAGGAAACCTTGCTTCTCTCTCAAAATCTCTAAATCCCAATTCTGATTGCTTTTCCTCAGCTAAATTGTCTTCTTTCTGTTTGACTTCACCAATTCATACCATAGGCATTGTCTTTGCTACTTTCATTTACAAAATGAAGTTATAGGTCAAGACTGGATTATCAAGCTCTGATTCACTTGATAATGTATTAAATTAGGGAACCCCCAACCAAGTAACATTTGTTCCTGAATCCGAGCCCTTGGGATGTCATCCAATCAGGATTGTAAACTCAGTAATTTTGCTATTATACCTGAAAGAAGATTATTATATTATAAAATCAACATTATCTTGGGCCTGGTGAACTTTAAATGATATATATCAATTTCCAATAAGGTAGGAACTGGTATTGTATCTTATAATCAAAATGATTTGTAAGAGAAAATTCTAATGGATAAGTATTGAAATAAATATTTCAATGCAAAAGCCAAAAAAGTATACAAAATAAAAGAATAATGTGCAGAAATAGCCTCTTCTCTTAATAAAAATGTCTAGTACTTGAAATTTATCAACTACTAAGTACTGGGAGCCCTTACTATTGACAGTGAGCCCCAGTAGGTTGAAAATAACACAGACAGCCATTTTAAACCAGAAATATAAAAGGGTAATAGAATAACCAAACTGGCAAGACAAGGAATTCAAACAATTGAAAGTTCATTAAATACAGTAATCCAGCCCACAACTTGGTAAATGAATCCAGTTCTCCACCTCTTTTGTAAATAAAGTTTTATTGGAAACAGTCCTGCCCATTTGTTAACGCATCACCAATAGTTGTTTTTGCACTGCAACAGCAGAGTTGCCTAGTGGCAATACAGGCCATGTAGACTCCCATACAAAGCTTAAAATATTTACCATGTGGCCCTTTGCAGAAAGTTTTCACAGACCCTGAATGGAACTAGGCTGGAGCTAGTTCTGCTTCTCATAGCAAAAGGAACCAGTTCAGAAATGCTTAGTGGGCCTGGACGCAGCAAGGTTAGCCTCCCTCCATCCTACCACTTCCCAGTGCAGACTTTGCTCAGACAGGAGGTCCTTTCATGAGAATTCAGGTGAGGCCCAGGAAGCATCTCCAGAACCCTGGACATCACTGTCATGTTTCCTCCAGTCCTGGAACTTAGGGGGGAAATTATTTTTCATGTACTGTGAGAATGTAGTTGGAGTCAAGTTTTCATAGAAATCTTGTCATCTATTTGCTTGTTTGTTCATAGTTGGTGGAATGCAAGAAACGGTCCTCACTGTCACCGGTAAATCTGTTAAAGAGGTGATGAAGTTGGACGATGACGAGACCTTTGCCAAATTTTACCGCAGCATGGATTATACTGTACCCAGAAGCCCTGTGGAGCTAGATGAGGACTTTGATGTACTTTTCGATCCTTATGCCCCCAAGTGAGTTATTTCAGTCCCCATCTTTCATCCACTGAGCGCAGATCCCTTCATCAGCCTCTATATACACTTTCATAAGATCTCCTCTGTTACCTTCTTCTACAATAGAACTTCATCACAGCCAAGCTTTACCCTCGAGAGCCAGACAGGCAGTGCTGTGGGGTAGACAAAACATTATGCCCCATAACAAGTGTGCATTCAGGCAGAATCTTGCATACACAGCATGTGTCACAGATGTCTACCCTATTCCAAAAATAATGTCACCAGATTTTCACAAAACTTGAATGTTGTTTTGCAGATCTTTAGATTTAACATTATTTAGCAGAGATTTCTTTACCTGCCTTTCAATTCACATATTGAATTCTTACTCAGAACTTTGAAAAATGTTTGGCTCACCTGGCCTTAAATTAATACAACCAGCTAGAAAATCAGTAAGGCATGTAACTTAACTTATAATCACATATAAAATCAACAGATGAAGGTTTTCTCACCAAGGTTCAAGGGTCTCTCCACACACAGGAACACTACCAAACCACCTAAAAAAAGTGATGTGATACTAGAATTCCTTTGGTTGCAAGTGCCAAACAGAAATCCCTGTCAGACTTCAGCAAAAGGAAGATGGGGAGGGATTTACAGGTTCACTCACTGAAGGGGCAGGTGTGAGCTCAGGTTCTAGGGGCTGGTCGGAATGAGGCCTCCCTCACGCCAGTTTTCCTCAGTCATACTGTCACCATGTGGTGGAAGATGGCCACCGCTAGCTCTGGATTTTTCATCTGAAGTACTTGGCCACTCAGCAGAGGTGGCTCCTCTATCGAGTAGCCCAGCACAAGACCCAGGCTTGACTTTCTAGGGTCTAAGCCCAGCCCTGAAGCCCTGTCACCAAGGGGATGGAAAATGCTGAGTGGCCAGAGCCCGGGTTTGGGTCAGACAGTGGAGGGCAGGGGATCCTGCAAAGGAAAGCCGAGGCACTGCTACCAGATTCCCGGGGGAATATGCTGGGCAACTATGAACCATATGTATCTATTTCCCACAAATTTCTCAGAGTGACAGTCTCTTCTTGAAGTCTGTGTGGTTCATTATAAAGTTTCCCTTAAGCTGCTGGTGATACATTTTTTTGCATATTCAGTTTGTTCAGTTTTTTCCAATTTTTCAAAAAAAATGAACAATTTGCCATTTCCCAACCTTTAAATGGTATTTTGGGTATTTGCATACATGGTTATTTAACCATTTCTCAACCTTATCCCAACTCAAATGTCATTACTTAAATCACTACATATAAACACATACATGTATGTTCACACACACACAGGACAATGTTACATGTAAAGACAGACTTCCAGGCACAGAGACCCATGCAGGGAGAGTTGAGAGCAGCTGCTGGAGTCTCTTGGTAAATCATGGGACTGACTCCCCAGTGGTTCTCTGCCTCCAAGTTGTGTGGTCATAGTTGGTTTTGTGAGCCTATTTTATTTCAATATAGTCTTCAGAATAGTGGTTATTTTTCAGAGGTGGAAATGGGTTGAGAAGAGGTCAGTTATGGGAGAGTTGGTGGGAGCTGAGAACCTTACGTAAACAAAGGTTTGTCTGGAGGAAAGGATTAAATCGAGAAGCAGTGGCTGGCTCTAAATTCTTGAAGGGCTTGATGGTGACAAAAGTAGATGTGTGCATTATTTCAGTAGAATTAGGATGGGTGCTTGGGTGTGATTAGGATGGGGAGGAACTCCCTGCCCTCAGAGCTTTCTGGTAGAGGAACGAGCTGCCCCATTGGAACTAGGTGCTCCTCCATACAGAGACCAAGGGGCGTGTGGTGTGAATAGGGGCTTCTAGGATTGGCTGGGATCTTGAACTAAATGGGCTTCAATTTCCCATCTCCAAGATTCTTTGACTCCATGTGAGGGGATGGTGCATAGAAGAAGGACATGTAAGATTGATAATAAAATCTGCTGAAAGCCCATCAAGTAAAATGGTGTAGCCCACCACTTCAGGTCAGAGCCCTGCCTATGACCAGGTGTGGAGGACACTGCAGACCAACCTTCAGCTCTGCTTTGCTTCTCAGGCTGACATCCTCTGTGGCCGAGCACAAGCGATCAGTCAGGCCCAAGCGCCGGGTCCAGGCTTCCAAAAACCCCCTGAAAATGCTGGCAGCAAGAGAGGACCTCCTTCAGGAATACACTGAGCAGAGATTAAACGTTGCCTTCATGGAGTCAAAGCGTATGAAAGTTGAAAAGAGTGAGTATCTGGAACTACCACCCTGTTTCTGTGCTTGGGACCTGAGATTAGGTGATTTTAATCATCTCCTTTTTCTGCCTTCAAAGGCTAATAATGCTGCTCAAAAGACATGCATCAAACAAAAATGACTTTGTTTGCACACACACATGCCCACCTGCCTGGAATTTAAAGGCTTTTCACAGAAATCCTTATACCATGGAACATTTGTTCACTTGGTTAATTCAAATTATCCTGTATTACTGAGTTTTAAGAAGTCAGAGAAGAAGGATGTTTCTAGGCTACAAATTATAATTCAACATTTTCAGCTCTATAGAGCCCACCATGTTATTTCTTTACTTAATCTTATCTAAGAGCAAATCATTTGATCTCTCATGAGAAAAATGTCCCAAATCACTGCTTTCATAACCCTACATGTTTATGTTAATGCAAAAACCAGTGCTTTCCAAATTGTTTTCAACAGCAGCCTCAGGACCCTCAGAGTTGGGATGTGGGATGGGTAGAGTGAGGGCCCCTGGGGTGGAGACAGTGAATGGATAGACAGGAGGAAGACCTCATGCTCTGTCCCACTTTAGGCTAAGCTGAGGTCCCATAGTTCTGAAACAGTGGTTTTCTTGGTGGAGGTAATGACAGGCATAATCATGCTATTTTGAACATTCTTGCTGTAATTTTTATTTTCCTAATGTACTCATAAACCTACTTCCTAAAGTTTTTCTTAGACATGTAGTATTTAGGTGAAGTTGTTGAAATTTTTCATTATAACTGGTTTACTAAGGAGAAGTGTATGTCAGAGTTGCTATGCCAGATGAATTGTCAAATCATGTTATATTTCTTCAGCATTAGAACCTAATCCCTGCAAAATAGCTTTCTGAGTTTCTCTCTAGCATATACATTTTTAACAGTGATTTAGAGAAATAAAGCTTTACTGACACACTTTATGTACTTCTCCTCCTTTGGGATGATGGATGCATGTATGTTTCTTGGTCCACACTGAAAACCCAGCATTTTGGTATAACAGTCTTAAGTCTGAGAGCAGAAGACCTTAGGAGATCATCTAGTAGATCACTTTGCCCCTCAGGAAAACATTAGAACTAAACCATCCCTACAGAGTGCTTGCTTTTCTACGTATCAACACTTCTGTTGAAAGATACCTAACAATCTTCCTTGAGAATGCATTTTCAACATCTAAACATTGTTAGGAACTTTAGCAGCTCTCAGTAGCTTTGCAACAACTGAGTCCAGCTCCTGATTTTATATTAAAATAGCTGGTGCACACTGTCATTCAGCTTTTGTGTCTCAATAGGATTAAATGTGGCTAGTGTCAACAAGCATCTGTGCTTTCAATACGGTGTTAAACTCTTCATACAGTGTGTAGGCATTGAACTGCATAGTTAATCAAACTTGAGTATGTTCTCCTACTCTGGATTAACTTTAAAAGAAAAAGTCAGGCATAAATAATTTCTGAGTGCAGACATTGTCATTTCACCTGAACATCTTGTCTCCCCGTCTTGTGTCTCCTTATTCAACCCCCCAGTGTCCTCCAACTCCAACTTCTCAGAAGTCACTCTGGCAGGTTTAGCCAGTAAAGAAAACTTCAGCAACGTCAGCCTGCGGAGTGTCAACCTGACAGAACAGAATTCTAACAACAGTGCCGTGCCCTACAAGAAGCTGATGTTGGTACAGATTAAAGGTATTTAAGGGCAGCAGAGAGGAGTCACATGTTGACCAGGACTTTTTAATCTAGTAACATCAGGAGCCCTGACTGCCCCAAACTGCCCATTAAAGGGAGGGAAATGCATGCTTTTTGAGACCCTGCTGTGTGCCAGGCACTGTGCTACCTCCTCTCATATAATTCTGACAAAATCTGTGAGATGGGAAATAGATGCCATGGAGACTCAGAGAGGTTAGTAATGTGTCTGAGGTCACAGCAGCTGTTGAGTGTCAGAGGTAGATTTGAACCCAGGTATCTCCATTCTGGAAGCTCGGCTTTCGCTGCCGCTTCTCCCTGCCCTGTGACCCCTGCCACAATACTGTCATGCAGTTACCAGATGCCCCCTATGTCATCACTGTGGTTCTTTCCACTCAGTTCTCTCTGAAGTAAACTAGAACCAACATAGGCCAGAGGGAGAAATGTACATTCTTGAAGAAGGAATCAAGAAAAGCAGAGGCAAGTGAAGTGGATCTGATTCCACTCCAACACAACACCCTATCAACAGCAACAGGCACTTAGCTGACAGCTAGGGAAGCTCTGGGCGATGGGGAGAGGTTTCACCGCCTCCAAGGAGCAACTGCTGGAGATGAATCTTCAAGAGAAGAATGGACGAAATGTCCTTTCCTTCTGTGAGGGTTTCCAGAGTGTTTCTGCATAACCACTGTCCTCCTGGTGTCTTCAAGGACAGTAGGCTGATGATAAGTGCAAATAACCCCCCTCGAGTCCCATGTTCTAACCCTGAGTCTATTCCGTCAATGTGATTGTGGGAAGATTAAATCAACACTCATTTAGAAAAAAGGTGCTGAAAGCAGCTCAAGGCAGTGCTTCTCTCCAAACTGATTCCCCTCAAGACTCCTCTACAGTTTAGAGTGAAAATTCCCACAAAAGAAGGTGCTGTGTGAAGGCGTGCTCTCACCTGCCTTGTAGTTTTTGAATGTCAGAGTGAACAGAAGGAGACAGGACCTGAGGAAAGGAGTGTGTTTGCTAACTTCCCTGGTGAAAGGAACCTTGATAAATCCATACCTGTGGTGTCAGAGGACCCTGAGCGTGGTCCTCAGAAACATGGGGATTGGGGAAAGCACTGACAAGGGAGGCTATCTGTGCCATTCTCACTAGAAATGCCCCCACCGCACTGGGCCATGGGAACGAGTGTTCACGGATGAGACGTTAGAATTGAAAGTTTGTAGCAGGGGCGCTACAAATGTGAGGTGTTTCTGGGTCCTTCCCGTGGCTGGGAGAGTTCTCTTTCTGGGAAGACAGTGACTCTCATCCTCATGTTCAGGAAGAAGACATGTGCAGACAAGACTTGTGGAACCTCGAGCTTCATCACTCAACAGTGGGGACTGCTTCCTGCTGCTCTGTCCCCATTACTGCTTCCTGTGGTCAGGGGAATTTGCAAATGTCATAGAAAAGGCAAAGGTGGGTATCTGAACAATAAAAACTGTTCAGGTTAAGCATCTGCTTTACACACCGATAGAATGTTCTACCAGTTGCCAGATCTTTACAGAGCTGCTCAGATGTCAAATGTTTCATTCAAGCGAGAAGAGGTAGTAGGTAGTATTCACTTTTCTGAATGTCTCAGGAACAAGCTTTCTTTAGGTGCTTTAATGGGCTATTTAAGAAGGAGTATGACTACCTTCCTGTTTCCAAGTCCCGGGTTTACTCTCCTGTGTAAAAAAGGTACTGGCACATCACTTCAAAGTTGTTTATCTTAGTGCCTATGAAAGTCTGCTCAGGACTTAATGAATGAGACTCTCATAGGGAAAAGCCCAGCGAATGGGTGTTTTTTCAAAGACTTCACAAGGGAATTGTTGAATTTGAAGATTGAGAACTATTGCTCTAAAGAATTGATACCCTGTGGTCCTTTAGTTATATTTTCTTGACATTGTTAAAATACCCAACAGCCAGTGCCTCAGCTCCTGTGGTCGCTGGTTTTCCTTTGAGACACAGGCCATTTCCCTCCTTCCATTTCAGCTCACGCCTCTCCACCTAGTCCTGGGCTTCTCCGCCCACATAATCACGTTCCTCCCTTTTTTCAGGCCTCAGAACTTGCAACTTTAATTCAGACAAAGAGGGAACTTGGTTGTAGAGCTACTTATGTCCAGACTATTGAAGAAGGAATTAATACACACACTCATGCAGCCAAAGACTTCTGGAAACTTCTGGGTGGCCAAACCAGTTACCAATGTAAGAGTTTACTGTATCTATGAAACTGACAAGACTGGAATATCCTTTTTTATCCCCAGTTCATTCTTCAAAACCAGCTACTTTTCAGTGTAAAATGTTCTATTCTCATACTGTTCTTATCCCAAAGCTGCTGGAGACCCAAAAGAAGACGAACTGTATGAGACAGCCATAATAGAAACAAACTGCATTTACCGTCTGATGGATGACAAACTTGTTCCTGATGATGACTACTGGGGGAGGATCCCAAAGTGCTCCCTTCTGCAATCAAAAGAGGTAAGTGCATGACCTCTGCCTCCCCAGCCAGCTCCTGCACACGTCTGCCCAGTGAACACTCGCAGAGGCTAGCCAGTGTTAGTGCCTGCCGCAGGACAGTGACATCTTTTTAAAGGATGTTTGTCCATGAATTCAGACCACTGCTGTGCTCCTAAATGCTGATACAGAATTCAGAACATTGTCCAGAGGAGGAATGAAGCATTGAAGGCTTTTCTGTTTTAGGCAAAATGTATTTTCTTTCTTTTTTTTTTTTGGTATTTTTTCCCTTCTTTTATGTCTATATGAGATGAAAGAGGTTAACTACACATTCCATGGCAATCATTTCACAATATATGTAAGTGAAGTCATTATGCTGCATGCCTTCAGCTTGTACAGTGCTGCATGTTAATTATTTCTCAATAAAACTGGGAACAAAATGCAAATACTACTTAGCCCTATCTCTTGATTTTTGTGTAAACATTAAATATTTTTCAGTTCTTAAATATTTCTCAGAAAGAACAGATGCATGTGTATATAATTTATGTGTTTGCCACATAAAGTGCTGGGTTTTTTCTCCCACATCAGTAAATATTAAATACATGCCTTTGCAATACCATTAAGTATTGTTGAATGCTGAAAAAAAGTGGAAAACTCAAAGGACCTTAAATTTCTTTGGATAGAACTATTTGAAAGAATGTAACCCAAAGGTAGATGGATGGTATGATAAACATGGGCATTTAAATGGAAAAAAAAGTGACAGAAAAAGAAATAATGAAGAATCCAATTGACCCTTGAACAATAACGGGTTTGAACTATACAGGTCTACGTACATGCAGATTTTTTTCCACAAATATACTGGAAAATTTTTTGGAGATTTGCAACAATTTGAAGAAACATTTTATTTTCTCCATCTTTATTGGAACAACATAGTATGTAATACATATAACATACAAAACATACATTAATTGACAATTCATGTTATCGGTAAGGCTTTTGGTCAACAGTAGGATATTAGTAGTTAATTTTGTGTGAGCCAAAAGTTATATGCAGATTTTCACCTGAGCAGAGAGTCAGCACCTCTAACCCCATCTTGTTTAATGGTCAGCTTTGATTTCAAAGAGAATATGAGATTGAGCCCAGTTTTGAGTTCAGTAGAATTTTGAAATTCTGTAGTAGATTGCTAGAAATGGTGGAAGAAATTACTCTAGGAAGAGAGAAGAGAATAAACCACAGGAATGGTAATAAATAGTGTTATGTTCACATATTCATTTAACAAACACTTAGTAAACTCCTGCTGTTAATGGAAGTAGGGTATGATCTCCAGCCTTGAGCATCTCCAAGTCATACAGAGAGTCCTCTATGCCTGGCATGTGTGAAATGGCCTCGACATGTTAACTGAATGAATGAACAAAGGGAAAGAATGAATATAGGAAGACATACTTAACTTTTATGAACCAGAAGTTTCAGGTGGTTTGTGAGGTAAGAGGAGGGAGCATTAACTTGGGCGTTCAGGACAAGAAGAAAGTCACACTGAGGGAGAAGAGGCTGGCTTGGCAGGGCAGTGCCATCTAGTCAGATCCTGTGATCTTTCTGTGTTTGTACTGATTGCTCAGTTAGGATTCCTATCATCACCCATTTGACTCACTGTCAATAGAGATCCTGATTCAAATGGAGCATGTCTCTGAAGCTAACCAGTTCTTCTGTACCATTTTCCCAGGTACTGGTGTTTGATTTTGGTAGTGAAGTTTATGTGTGGCATGGAAAAGAAGTCACATTAGCACAACGGAAAATAGCATTTCAGCTGGCAAAGCACTTATGGAATGGAACCTTTGACTATGAGAACTGTGACATCAACCCATTGGATCCTGGAGAATGCAATCCGCTTATTCCCAGGTATTCCTGTGATCAGTTGATGGCACTGTGGCAGGAGCAAAGTCCCTCAGTGGACCCTCAGTCCTTCCCACAGTTTTCTGCTATTGCTGTGCACAGGTTTTGATTTTCATAAATGATTGCATACAGTACTCTGAATCCTCACAAAAAGATTTCTTTAGGTTTTGCCTAACTGATACAGAAATACACTGTCATCATTTCCTGGAAGCTATTTGTGTTATATTTCACTTCTTAGTGAACACATGGTCGCCCCCCTGCTGCAGCATTCCAGGTGCTATTGTGGCAGATGAATAGCAATTGTTTAAATAAATTACATGCTGAAAAAAAAAAGAACCTTTAGATTGTGTTTGTAATAGCATATTAAGTAAGTTAAGTTAGACTCTTAGATAGTAAGGAAGTTAACCGTGAACCTTTGGTAACCACGAATCTAAAGCCTGCAATGGCAATAAGTACATACCTATCGATAATCACCCTAAATGTAAATGGACTGAATGTACCAATCAAAAGACATAGAGTCACTGAATGGATAAAAAAACAATACCCATCTATATGCTGCCTACAAGAGACTCACTTCAAAAGACATACACAGACTAAAAGTCAAGGGATAGAAAAAGATACTTCATGCAACTAATAGGGAGAAAAAAACAGGAGTTGCAGTACTTGTATCAGACAAAATAGACTTCAAAACAAAGTCACAAGATACAAAGAAGGAAATTACATAATGATAAAAGGGTCAATCTAACAGGAAGATATAATTGTTATAAATATCTATGCACCCAACACAGGAGAACCTACATATGTGAAACAAATACTAACAGAATTAAAAGGGGAAATAGAATGCAATGCATTGATTCTAAGAGACTTCAACACTCCACTCACTCTGAAGGACAGATTGACCAGACAGAAAATAAATAAGGAGACAGAGGCACTGAACAACACATTAGAACAGATGGACCTAACAGACATCTACAGAACTCTACACCCAAAAGCAGCAGAATACACATTCTTCTCAAGTGCACATGGAACATTTTCAATAATAGATATATACTAGGCCACAAAAAGAACCTCAGTAAATCCAAAAAGATTGAAATTGTACCAACCAGTTTCTCAGAACACAAAGTATGAAACTAGAAATAAATTACACAAAGAAAATGAAAAATCCCACAAACACATGGAGGCTTCACAACATGCTCCTAAATAACCAATGGATCAATGACCAAATAAAAACAGAGATCAAGCAATATATGGAGACAAATGAGAACAATCATTCAACACCACAAAAATCTGTGGGACGCAGTGAAGACGGTGCTAAGAGGAAAGTATATAGCAATACAGGCCTACCTCAGTAAAGGAGAACAATCCCATATGAGCAGTCTAAACTCACAATTAACGAAACTAGAAAAAGAACAAATGAGGCCCAAAGTCAGTAGAAGGAGGGACATAATAAAGATTAGAGCAGAAATAAATAAAATCAAGAAGAAGAAAACAATAGAAAGAATCAATGAAAGCAAGAGCTGGTTCTTCAAGAAAATAGACAAAATAGATAAACCCCTAGCCAGACTTATCAAGAAAAAAAGAGAGTCTACTAACATAAACAGAATCAGAAATGAGAAAGGAAAAATCACTACAGACACTACAGAAATACAAAGAATTATTAGAGAATACTATGAAAAATGATATGCTAACAAACTGCATAACCTAAAAGAAATGGACAACTTTCTAGAAAAATACAACCTTCCAAGGCTGACCCAGAAAAAAAAAGAAAATCTGAACAGACCAATTATCAGCAATGAAATTGAACTGGTAATCAAAAAACTAACTAAGAACAAAATTCCTGGACAAGATGGCTTCACCACTGAATTTTATCAAACATTTAGTGAAGACCTAATACCCATCCTCCTTAAAGTTATCCAAAGAGTTGAAGAAGAGGGAATACTTCCAAACTCATTCTATGAGGCCAGCATCACTCTAATACCAAAACCAGGCAAAGACACCACAAAAAAAGAAAATTACAGACCAACATCCCTTATGAACATAGATGCAAAAATACTCAACAAAATATTAGCAAACCGAAGTCAAAAATACATCAAAAAGATCATACATCATGATCAAGTAGGATTTATTCCAGGGATGCAAGGATGGTACAACATTCGAAAATCCATCAACATCGTCCACCACATCAATAAAAAGGACAAAAACCACATGATCATCTCCATAAATGTTGAAAAAGCATTCGACGAAATTCAACATCCATTCATGATAAAAACTCAACAAAATGGGTATAGAGGGCAAGTACCTCAACATAATAAAGGCCCTATATGACAGACCCACAGCCAACATCATACTGAACAGCAAGAAGCTGAAAGCTTTTCCTTTAAGATTGGGAACAAGACAAGGATATCCACTCTCCCCACTTCTATTCAACATAGTACTGGAGGTCCTAGCCATGGCAGTCAGACAACACAAAGAAATAAAAGGCATGCAGATTGGCAAGGAAGAAGTTAAACTGTCCCTGTTTGCAGATGACATGATGTTGTACATAAAAAACCCAAAAGAATCCACTCTGAAACTACTAGATCTAATATCTGAATTCAGCAAAGTTGCAGGATACAAAATTAATACACAGAAATCTGTGGCATTCCTATATACTAACAATGAACTAGCAGAGAGAGAAATCAGGAAACAATTCCATTCACATTTGCATCAAAAAGAATAAAATACCTTGGAATAAACCTAACCAAGGAAGTGAAAGACCTATACTGTGAAAACTACAAGAGACTCATGAGAGTTATTAAAGAAGATACCAATAAATGGAAACACATCCCATGCTCATGGATAGGAAGAATTAATAATGTCAAAATGGCCATCCTGCCTGAAGCAATCTACAAATTCAATGCTATTCCTTTCAAAATACCAACAGCATTCTTCAACAAACTAGAGAAAACTGTTCTAAAATTCATATGGAACCACAAAAGACTCCGAATAGCCAAAGCAATGCTGAGAAGGAAGAATAAAGTGGGGGGATTATGCTCCCCAACTTCAAGCTCTACTACAAAGCCACAGCAATCAAGACAATTTGGTACTGGCACAAGAACAGAATCATAGACCAATGGAACAGACTAGAGAGCCCTGATATAAACCCAACCATATATGGTCAATTAATATATGATAAAGGAGCCATGGACATACATGGGGGAAATGACAGTCTCTTCAACAGCTGGTGTTGGCAAAACTGGCAGCTACATATAAGAGAATGAAACTGGATTATTGTTTAACCCCATACACAAAAGTAAATTCGAAATGGATCAAAGACCTAAATGTAAGTCATGAAACCATAAAACTCTTAGAAGACAACACAGGCAAAAATCTCCTGAATATAAGCATGAGTAACTTCTTCCTGAATGCATCCTCTCAAGCAAGGGAAACAAAAGCAAAAATGAACTCATGGGACTATATCAAACTAAAATGTTTCTGTATGGCAAAGGACACCATCAACAGAACAAAAAGGCATCCTATAGTATGGGAGAATGTATTTGTAAATGACATATCTGACAAGGGGTTAACATCCAAAATATGTAAAGAACTTACGTGCCTGAGCACCCAAAAAGCAAATCACCCGATTAACAAATGGGCAGAGGATACGAAGAGACAATTCTCCAAAGAAGAAATTCAGATGGTCAACAGACCCATGAAAAGATGCTCCACATCACTAATCATCAGGGAAATACAAATTAAAACCACAATGAGATATCACCTCACACCAGTAAGGATGTCCAGCATCGAAAAGACTAAGAACAACAAATGCTGGTGAGGCTGTGGAGAAAGGGGAACCCTTCTACACTGCTGGTAGGAACGTAAGCTAGTTCAACCATTGTGGAAAGCAATATGGAGGTTCCTCACAGAACTAAAAATAGAAATACCATTTGACCTGGGAATCTCACTCCTTGGAATTTACCCAAAGAATACAACTTCTCAGATTCAAAAAGACATATGCACCCCTATGTTTATCACAGCCCTATTTACAATAACCAAGATATGGAAGCAACCTAAGTGTCCATCATTAGATGAATGGATAAAGAAGATGTGGTACATATACACAATGGAACACTATTCAGCCATAAGAAAGAAGCAAATTCTACCACTTGCAACAACATGGATGGAGCTGGAGGCTATTGTGCTCAGTGAAATAAGCCAGGCGGAGAAAGACAACTAACAAATGATTTCCCTCATTTGTGGAGTATAACAATGAAGCAAAACTGAAGGAACAAAATAGCAGCAGATGCAGAGACTCCAAGAAGGAACTAGTGGTTACCAAAGGAGAGGGGTGTGGGAGAGGAGGTGGGGAAGGAGGGAGAAGAGTATTGAGGGGTGTTGTGTTTAGCACACATGGTGTGGGAGATCACGGGGAAAACAGTGTAGCACAGAGAAGGCAAATAGTGAATCTGTGGCATCTTACTACACTGACGGATAGTGACTGCATTGGGGTATGGGTGGGGACTTGTTAATATGGGTAAATGTAGTAACCACATTGTTTTTCATGTGAAATCTTCATAAGAGTGTATATCAATAATACTTTAATAAAAAATTAAATTTAAAAAAAATTACACACTGATCTGAAAAGCTTCCTAGGTCTGAAATTCAGCCATTGAGCTCAAGGTACAAAAACAACATGTTTCCTTCTAATTTCACACCTTTCCAGCACAGCCCTTGAATTCCAAGATTTGCCATTTTTTGACACTATCTGTTGTGTATGCCTTTTGGGGGATGATGTGAGAGGGTGGACATGGTATTGAAATGATGATTATAATTTTCATATTTCCTACAGTATACTGGACTTAAAAGTAATTTTGGTATGCACAAACTAACAATTATCATAAGAAAAGTAATTCTTACCTGTGAAGGATTGTTCTTGGTTTTCTGAACTACCAGGGGGAAAAAAAATGCTTTTAAATTAGGTGTGCCAGTTAATAAGTTAGACATAGATGTGCCACACATAGCATAAAATGTTGGGTATCATGAAACTCCATTTCAATGTTTTCCATTGAAGTAGTGTACACATGTCAACTTTCCTACCTAGTTTCCTGTTTTAAAACTGAATTACTGATTTTATTAATTATCATTATAGAAACAATTACGAATGATGCCAGTGTAGGTGAAATGTTTTCAATCCTTTTTAAACAAAGGTTCGCTTAACATAAAACTAGTACTGTTACAGCTAGTGATTTAAGCAACAAAGCTAAGGCTGAAAAGAATGTTTGATTTGATATGAGAAAAGAAAAAATTTTACGCTGATGCATAAAATCCATATGCTGGATAATTTATATCTAGAAGTGACATAATCACAGGTCTGAAAGTAGCTGGGTGATCACCTCACCCACTGGTTTTCAACACCTCCCAGATTAGAATCACCTGAAGAGCTTTTAAACAAAAGCATGTGCTGGGCCCAGGTCCAGAGATGTGTTTCCAATTCACATAGGGTGGGGCTTATATGTCAGTATGTCTTAAAAGCTGCGCAGGCATTTTAAGGTGCAGTCGAGGTAGTGAAGCACCCAGCCCTTCATAACAGAGGAGGAGGCTGGACGTGCTGGAGTGTCATGACTTAGCCCAGGTCAAACAGGGAAGTCAGGATGGAGGGGAGAGGCACACGCCTTGCCACTTCACACTGCAACTGTTCCCCCTCATGCTTGCTAATAACATAAAAGGTAAATTCCTAAAGCTGAAACCAAGTGCTCTTTCTCTAGGCATCTTAGCAAATCTGCAGAGTAGAATTTCTATAAAAGAGCCATGCTATTTTTGCATAAATACCACAAGCCTTTTCAAGGTGATCGTGAGTATTCCACAGTTGCTGCTATTTGGTTCCTTTAGTCCTGCAGGAGTACGAGGCAGAAGGGTTTGTGTGCTCTGCTCTATCCCATCCAACTCCTTTGGAACAGGCAGCCACCTTGATGGGCCTCAGCCGTGATGTCAGAAACTGTGGTCCTGGACCAACAGGGAGCAAAGACGGGACACAGAGGCCCAGGAAGTGCTGTGCTGTGCTCTGACAGGACATAGGAGTCCCAGGCCCAGTGTCCTGTGAAGGTCGATGGGGAGGAATAGAGATACCTGCATCTTAGTCTTGGGCTGACACCTCTTCAGCATGGATTTCTGCAACTTGGCCTTTTCCTAGGTGTCCTGTGTGCCAAGAACAGGTGCAGATTCTGAGGTGCTGGGACAGTAACAGCCTCCGGGTTGGGTTGGGCTCTTTCCTTCTGCGTGTCATTATGCTCCTCCTGCCTGCTGCCTGGAACAGTGACCTAGAAATAAATAGGCAAGAATCCATTTTATGATATATGAAAGTACATTCATGGTAGTGACAGAAGAATTTCATCCATTCCTGGAGGCTGGGGAACTTCATCATAACATGTCTTAAAATAGTAGAGAATTCAGGGTGAGCTCATCTTCCTCCCATCCACTCATTCGACAGACACACAGGAGCACTTGCAGGTGACTATGGGTGGCAGAAATCAGGCAAGGAGGATATACACACAGACCTTGCTTTGCACCCAGTCTGGTGCACCACCCCCAGGGGGTCCCAAATAAAAGAACCTTTGAGGATGCAAGAAAAGTCCATTCTTGACACCATCCACATCACGATATTCAGGCACATCAACTCCATGGATGCAAAGCTTTGCAAGGCTTCAGGTTAAAAGGAGTGTCACTTATTTGATAAAATAAGTGAAAACAAACCATTCATTCCATATGCCACTTACAGATTCTGAGTTTTTTCAGTCGCCACCTGTGTTTGTTTCAGATTCCTTTGCTTTAGCATGACTTAATCTTGGCTCTTTCCCTGTCTGCCACCCCTACCCTGCAGGAAAGGACAGGGGCGGCCTGACTGGGCAATATTTGGGAGACTTACAGAACACAATGAGACTATTCTGTTCAAAGAGAAATTTCTCGATTGGACTGAACTGAAGAGACCTAATGAGAAGACTGCCTACGACCTTGCCCAGCAGAAGGAATTCCGGGTAATTAAACCTCAAACCTCAGGGCTTGGTTTGATCCCAACCAAACAGGCCTTGAAGCTAAAAGCCTTCCCAGGGTTTCCTAGGAGGACAGCAAACCGAGCCAGTTTCTAGTTGCATTCTAACTAGGAATCAAAAACAGCCCAGGGTGTGCCTCAGGGTTTATGGTCACCCCACTCACTGTGATGGATGAATATCCAGGCCTGCTGGAGTCTTTCCCCTAAATACAGCCTTTTCTTAAATGCAATTAAATGCCGAGACAGATCATGAAAGCTGTCCTCATATGCTGTCCTATTAACAATGAAATGGCTGTGAAGCAGAGGTAACCCAACAGACATTTTTCCGTTCCCTTGCAGGAAGAGCCAAGGGCAGAAGTCAAGCCATATGATGTGACGCTGATGGTGCCGGTGCCCCAGACGACAAGCAGCACTGTACTGGACGGGGTGAATGTTGGCCGTGGCCACGGCCTGGTGGAAGGGGACGACAGGAGGCAGTTTGAGATCACCAGCGTCTCTGTGGATGTCTGGCATATCCTTGAATTTGACTACAGCAGGCTTCCCAAACAGAGCATCGGGCAGTTCCATGAGGGGGACGCCTATGTGGTCAAGTGGAAGTACATGGTGAGCACCACAGGTTAGTGAGTTCTGGGTTCTTTTCAAACTGAGATAGGCTGGGCTGCCCCGCGGCTGGCCACTGAGCCCAGGCCTGTGTCGCTATGCCTGACGCTCAGCTCCACTGTGCAGTGTGTCCGTCTTGTTCACTTTGAGGACCACTTATTAAGTCTCATAGACAGATTCCTAACTGCCTAGCATTGCTGACATCTGTGATGTTTCCTTGTAGAAAGTAAAGGCTTCGCTACTCCCCTCACTCCCTTCCTTGACTTGTCCCCAGAGGTTTCTCGAAAAGCAATGATTTGCTTCTAAGTGATATTTACCATGTGGCTGTAGGCTGTGTAAAGTCTTAAGTAAAACATAGCTGGGTGACTTAGAAGTGAAACCAAATGGAGGAGTAACGATATAGTGAACAGATGCAGCAAAAAAATATTAAAAATAAAAAAAGCCATTTTCTCAGAGGCTGAGAGCACTGACAGTAGTTTGTGGATCTGGTAGAATAAATGCATAGTCAGAACTCTTCGATCCTGTCAGTGACATAGCAAAACGCTCAACTGTAGTTTTTGCACTAGAGGAGGATGGAAGTGAAACTTGGAGTAAGAACTCCTTTCTTCACCAATAAGTAGCCCTTACTTAAGTGGCCCCTAGTGTTCCTCATCCCTACCCAGTTAGAAGACAGTTTCTGTCACAACTCTCTAGTTTTGAGATTCCTTGCAATCCCCAGGGGAGTTGACGCACCTCTGCCCAGTCCCCTGGCTGTCCAGCCGTGGCTGCCCTGGGGCCACCAGGAGCAGAAACCAAACACCTGAGGACTTACAACATTTGATTTCTTCCCTAATTTATCGAAAAATAAGACTGTTAATCAACTGGGAGCATCTACTGAGAACCTTCTCTGTGTATAAGACACTTTATTAGGGAGTAAGTAAATATTTCAGACCCTGCCTTCAAGGAGCATACGGAATAAATGACAGTAAGTCAAGTAGCAGGAGAGACAGCTGCTTTGTGCCAGACGAGGAGAGCTTGATTCTGAAACTGGGTCTGCCAGCAGCAGTGAAAGCCCAGCAAAGCAGCAGCTGGGAAGCCAGTGAGTGGGCATCACCGGGCAGGGCAGGAGGGCCATGCATGGTTGTGTCAGGCCCAGAACTGTCTGGGTGGGCTGCCCCACGGGATGTATTCAGTCATTTGCTGATTTCTCAGTGAAAAACAGGACACCAAGATTAAGAAACCCACCTAAAGTCACACAGCTAGTAGAGAGCAGAGCTGGACACTAAAAGTTGCCTTCCTCTCATAAGGAGGCCTTGCGGCTTGCAGGAAAGGCCACAGGTCCTAGGACCATAGAGCGCAGCTCTGAATCTTCTCTCAGGCCCTACATACTAGCTCTGCAAGTTGAGTCAAATTATTTAACCTGCCTGAGCCCCAGTTTTCTCACCTGGAAAACAGAGACAGTCCGCAGCTCACAGAACATCATAACCTGGTGCATGTGATGTTTAGTGTGGCTCCTGGCATGTGGCCACATGGTAAATGCAGGAAATACTGTTACCAATGTTCTCAGCAGCAAAAGCATCATTAATATATTCAACTTGAAGATGAGATCATGTGAATCTACCCAAAATAATAACAATTCCCAGAGAGTCACTGTTGTGGGTTTGAGCCCCTGAAATCATATCCTGTGCTGCTGGCTGGTGGTGGAGACCCTCAGAGGGAATGTAGTGAGACAACCTCCTAACCTCTGGTGGTATGGGACTGGGAACTTTAAGGGCCGAACTGAAAGTGTACATGATTCCTTTCTTTTCTTTTAAACGTCTTTTATTGAAATACAGCTTACATACTGTTAGGTTGGTTCCAGATGAACTAGTGGTTGATCAATTACATATATTAAATGCTCACCATGATAAGTGGTTACCATCTGTCACCATACAAAAGTTTTACAATATTAGCTATATTCCCTGTGCCAAACTTCCATCCCTGTGGCTAAATTATTTTATAAATAGTTCCTATTTTTAAAACACAGAAAGGGAATTGCATATTTTGTAAACTAAAATGAAGGGTCCCCACAATGCGAAATTCCATCATTTCCTTACCCTCACCATTAGTTATAAAAAAGTAACAGTAAGTAAATGAATAAATAATATTAAAATGAATTAATTTAAAAAAGAAATCTTGAGATATCTTTATGGAAAGATAACCTTTATGGAAAAATGCCTGTCTCTAATAAAGCTACACAGAGCTATCTTTAAAAAAAAGATTTCTGAGGTCTTCACAGACTATTTACTTGGGAGACTTAAGACATAATGATTTGACCCAAGCAAATAGTTTATGTACTTCTTCTCAATAAATAGAGTGCACATCTCACAGCCAGTTCCCTCAGCATCTTTATGAGCAAAGTTACAAGTTGAGAAAGTCCAGCTGTGGAGAATTAAGTTAGGGCAGGGAGCATTCAGACTGCAGACCATCCCTCTGGGAGCAGAGAAGCTTAGCTGGATGGCAGATGTAATTGCTCTGAGGTTATCACAGAAATGCTGGCCTCCTGGTGGCTCCCTGTCCAGCCCCTCAGGACCCACACCCCACAGGGGCTGCACCTGCAAACAAGACTCAGCATGAGCTCAGAAAGGCCCTAGCGGACAGGGTCAGTGGAAATCAGCAGCTGTGGAGACAATACAACTGTCCCCTTGGGGGGTGCTGGCCAGCCTGCATAGGAGCTGCTTGGGAACTGAACCATGGGCTCTGGAGAAGGGCAACCAGGGGCTGCAGTGGGTTGGTATCCTGCCCCAGAGACTGCCTCGGGGACTGCAGGGTCAGGAAACAAGCTGCTTGAGGGACCCAGTGGTGCTGGACCAGGCCACTCCAGAGCATGGTACCAGTTGAGTTCAGAAAATGTGGTTCTGCTTCACGACCACTTGACCATGAGCAGTTCACACCTCTTTTTATTCCAAATACAAGTTCTGATAACAGACTTACTCTTCCAAGTATTTTGAGGGAATGATCTATCAATATTTTAAATTAGGCATCTGATCAAGATTATAAAGATCACAATCCAAATAACACTATATCTTTGTATGTTGACAGATAGCAACCACACTTACCATGAAGAGAGTGTGTAGTGCATATAATAGTTGAATCACTATGCTGTACACCTGAAACCAATAATAGTGTATAACAACTATATTTCAATTTAAAAATTCAAAAATCCAGTCACCAAAAGAAAAAGGATTACAGCCTAGAAGTTCTTACTAATAATAACATAATCTTTGCTAAAATTAAAAATAAGTGAATTAATTAAGCTATAAATGTAGATGATTAAACTTGGGGTTAAAATCACAAGGAAAATTAGTGAAAATTACTTGTATGAAGTAATTTTAAGGAATCCTATTCTATTATGGACATATACGTTCAAGTCCATTTTAGAATATTAGGATGTAAAACACTGTGTAAATATATAGTCATGCTTAAATAACCAATGTACTTAAGTGCTAAAAAATTCCAAAATATGTATAAACTGCCACAGTCTATTTTAAGTGTATCTTTCCACAGTAACCTAACTGACATGACTGATTTTCACTACTATGAGGAGTGGGGTTGCTAATCAAAAGCAAACTTTTGTTCCTATCTAAATTAGCAGTTGAATGGCTTCCAAATTAATTGTTGGCTATGCATAATCCATTGATGGCCCCTATTTCACTTTTGACAGCTTAAAAATACACCAATCTGACCAGGTCCAGAGTAGGTGGTGCTGAAAGCTGTGTTCAATCAAAAATACTTTAAGAATTACGATAATTTATGGAAACTGTTAGAACAAAAAAGAGATCAAATAAATATGGACCTTGACCTCTTAGGGACTTAAATAAGCTTTTTTCTTACCTTTAAACTTCAAGACAACTGTGATTTTGTAGGTGGATCAGAGCTGAAAAAGAATTGAGGAACTATAGAACCAAAGAATCTGGTTATTATTAACTTCAAGGTACATGGGTGTTACAGCCTCCTGCACTGGCCCATGGTTGATCGCTGCTTGTGGGGACCACCCAGGCATTCAAGGCAAGAACTTGGTCTCCTGACCTTCATTCTAGAAGGCTCTGCCTCCAAGTCATCATCATTCAGGCCTCCGCTTACCCACCTCCTCAGAAAGGCCTCCCTCCACAGGGAGTTGGTCCCCTCAGCACTCGCCCTGCCCCATGGCACATCTCCCCATTATTTCTCAGAGCACTGCAAGTACCTGAAATTATCTTGCTCACCTCCTGATTAGAATGAAGGCAGAGAGGCTGTCTGGCTTACCCATCGGGATAGCCACCGCATCCTAAACAGTCCCTGGCACACTGTCGGTGCCCACAAATGTTTGTGGAATGAATGCATGAGAGGAGTCTGGAGTGAGGTATGTTCCTGAAGGTAGCAGGCTGAGGTCTGAAATACTGTCTAAAGTGACCACTTGACTTTCTGTGCCTGCTCTTCAGTGAGACCCACATTCTGTGTGCTGACGTTCATCAAATACCTGCAAGGTGCCAGGCAGTAAGGATGAGCAGCACCTAATCCTGGCTACAGCCTGGTGACAGATATTATTTAAATCCCAGATTATTTCATGAAAGTGGTATGTCAGCAGTTTCTCTCTCCCACTTCTGACAGAACTTGGAAAATTCAAAAGTGCTTCTTTACTAGAATAGTTTTAACAGACTATATTTTTCACTTTGTGCTTAAAGCTGGCTGAGCTGTTGTTTTCAATATCTTTCTCTACCAGCTAAACTTTTGCCAAAGGATGGTGTAATCTGGAACAGGCGTCTGCGGCAGCCACCATTTCTCTGTCACACACTCGGAGTGACCTGCTGCCTTCCTCTAGGCTGGCAGGTGTTTTCCTCAGTGTGTCAAGAGGGCCCTGCAGACCATTTTTCCCCAGTTTGGAGTGTCAGGCTCAGCTAACTGGAAGAAAGGTGGTTTTTCTCTCCAGCATATGGTATGACTGCCATTCCCTGCAGCTGTGATTTCTCCTCAGCCCCATGCCCAAGAGCTGTTTCTTCACTGTGTGTTCTCACAGAGCCTGGAGGAGGGAGCCATGCATTTGCTTTCCTTGCGGCTTCTCTGCTGTTGACCCACTCCATGGTTCTGTGTGTTTGCAGTGGGAAGTCGACAGAAGGGAGAGCATCCAATTCGGGTGGCTGGCAAAGAGAAGTGTGTCTACTTCTTCTGGCAAGGCCGGCAGTCAGCTGTGAGTGAGAAGGGCACGTCAGCCCTCATGACGGTGGAGCTGGATGAGGAGAGGGGGGCCCAGGTAAGTCCTGGAGCACAGCGGCGCTGGTGAGACATGTCCGTTCAGGGAAGCCGCACAGGGTGGGCCCTCATTTCCTGAAGACCTGGTTCTAATGAATAAAGACAGCATCACCAGAGCATTTTAGTCCTGGGCTTCTCTTCCAGATTCCTGGTTGTGTCTCACCCTTCATTCCCCCCACCACCTGGCCAGGAAGCCCACCTCTTGTAACATGACGTTCAACACGATGTATCAGCAAAGAGTCAGTCCACAACCCAAGTCCAAAGGGCTGAAGATTGTTTAAGTTTCCACCTAACTAATAATCCAGGAATTGTGAATAAAACCAAAAGGTGCTATTTTCCACTTCCCAAAGTGGTAGAGATCTGTTAAAGAACAGACCCCAGGCTTCTGAGGGTTCAGTAGGATGGGTTAGTGTGCATGCTTCCCTTGGAAAGTATAACTTGTTTGAAATGGCCATGCTGAAAGGCACTTTTGGCTCGAGAACCTTAAATAGCTCAAAAACTTTGATCAGTTTTTCCACTTACACAAATCTATCCTAAAGAAATATTATGTGAGGCTAATATAAAAATTAGGGTTCCCATCAGCTGCATTCCTCACAGCAGCCTGAGTGATTTTTCTAAGCACATCAGATCATGTCACTCCCGTGTGGCCATCACATTTGGACTACAGTCTAATCAGTCTCCTGGTGGTCTGCCAGTACCTCCATGGTCAGCCCTGCACACCTATCCTGTCTTCCCTGTCTTGCACCTGGGCTGCTCCAGCCTTCTTGCTATTCCTCAGACATGCCTCTTCCTGGCCACCCCAGGGCCTTTGCACTGTTTCCCTTGGAACACTCCCCATTCATCCATCTGTAACTCTCAACCTCTTATGATTCTGATTTCTGGCCAATTGTCAGCCTCCCATTTTATCCAGATCCATACCCAGTCTGTCCCTTTACTGTGCTTTACTTTTTCATAGCACATACCACTACTTAACTTCATAGCCATTTTGTCAGTTGTTTATATTTTGCGTCCATTTTGTTTACTTATCATCTGTCTCTCCCCACAAGCATGAAGGGGACCATGCCTGCCCCTGTCCTACCCACCACTGTAACCCAGAGCCTGCCGGTAATAATGTCTAGCAGGTACTGCTGCCCAAATCCAAGGCTTTGTCAACATTTCCTTTTAATGTTTGGATTATCTAGGCCTTGGGTCCCATCCTTTTGTACCAGTAATTAAGAATTAACTCTGGGGTTTGGGAATAGTTAGTAATAGTATGAGGGAAGAGAACAGAGGAATTTTCTCCAGAAATAGATCAACACTCACTAGCCTTCCATATTCATAATAACCAGTCCTTTTCCCTAAAAAATACTTAATGCATATTTTACAAATAGTTGTTAGTGACCATTGCATTTTAATTTATTCCTAGTAGTGGGTAGTTTTGACTGCCTCTTTTTTCCCTATAAAGGCCATGAAAGAATATGGTGATTTGGGGTGGGGAGGGGTATATTGAGGTAAATATAATAAAACATACAAGTCAGTGTACAGCTTGAATTTTGACATGTGTATGCACTCATGTAACCCCATTGCCTAGATGAAGATACTAAACATTCTTGCTAATATTTTTTTCCCTGCACCTATTTTGCCCATCCACCTATCGCCCTCTGCCATGGCAACCACCAGCCTTTTCTTTGTGTCTATTTCAGTTTTGTTCATTTGTTTTGTTTTTTCAGGTGGGACCCTCTAGGTCCATCTATGTTGTTGCAAATGGCAAGATTTCATTCTTTTTTCATGGCTAATACTTCACTGTGTATATGTACCACTCTGGTGTGAGGTGATATCTCATTGTGATTTTGAATTGCATTTCCCTGAGAACTAGTGATGTGGAGCATCTTTTCACATGCCTGTTGGATATGTATTTATCTTCTTTGGAAAAATATCTATTCAGGTCCTCTGCCCATTTTTTAATCAGATTATTTTTCTTTTTGTGGTGTTGAGTTGTATGAGTTCTTCTATATTTTGAGTATGAGTACCTTGTCAGATATATCACCTGCAAATAGATTATCCCACTCAGTAGGTTGCCATTTCATTTTGTTGATGGTGTCCTTTGCTGTGCAGAAGCTTTTTAGTTTGATGTGGTCCCTCTTACATATCTTTGCTTTCATTTCCCTTGCCTGGGGAGATGTATCCAGAAAAAAAGTTATGAATACTTATGTTCAAAGCTTACTTCCTATGTGTTCTTCTAAGAGTTTTATGGTTTCAGTCTTATATTTAGGTTTTTTAAGCCATAAATGAATGTTTTAATCATGCCTTTAAAATTATCCTGAGAATTTTGAGTCTTAACCTCTCTAGTTTGAGCGCTGCATGTTTTATCAATCCAGCAGGTATAAAATCACTTTAGATATATAAGACATGGTCACAAAATGGCTTTTAGGAATCTGAGAGGCTGTGATTGATAGGCACGTGGCTCCATGAGTAGACCATGGGAAGGGCTGCAAAAGAGACAGTTCTTTCCCCCCAAATTACTGTGATCAGTCATTCTTTTCTCTGAGAGCTATACCATGTTTAAAATGTGTTTAAATCAACCATGTTACATCCATACCATTAACATACCAAAGTTCATGTTTCAAAAGAGTATTTGATAGAAAAATATAAAGTGAAGAAAATAAGGATATAGAACAACAATACTGATTTTCTTTGAGAAATATCTATACCTGGAAAATACTTTGAAAGGAAAGTTAACCACTGCTAGAATTCTAAGGTGTATCTCTAGGTACTAGTATTATTACAGGCCTTCGTACTTCCTGATATTTTTCAGATTTTCCACAATTGGCATGTATTTTTTTATCACTTTGAAAAATCAGTACATGTTACTTATTTCTATATGTTTAAATTGGAAGGTCCAAGTACTTCAGGGAAAGGAGCCCCCCTGTTTTCTGCAGTGCTTCCAGGGGGGTATGGTGGTCCACGCCGGGAGGAGGGAAGAGGAGGAAGAAAATGCACAGAGTAAGTCCATTTAATTGTTGGAATTTGACTTTTTTTCCTTTCCCGGAAGGCACTTTTATATGCATGGGGTTTAAGTAAGTCTCTCTCTGTACAGCGGGGCCTTACTCCTGAACGCCTCCTAACATTTTCCTTATAAATCAGCTCACAACTGCCACCCACCTCCCGTGGAGTTTACCCTGGGATCCAACCTCTCAGGCAGGGGTCTGGAAGAGTACTTCACCTTAAACCGAATCCTCCCCATGACTGTTTTTAGGAGGGGAAAAAAAAAATCAGTGCATCTTCTGTTATAAATTATGAGATTTTTTGTTGACCAGCACCCCTCCCTAGCCAAAAATCCTCTTAGCTTTAAAAGTTTAGAATTTAGTCCTTTTAAATATGCCTGTTCCATAACTTACCTAGGTATTTTGTAAATTTGTAAAAATAGTTATTTTGCATTGTGACGTGCTTCTAACTGTAGAGGGATGTACCCTCCGGGCCCACAGTAAGATGGCTGCTGGCTTCAGCAGTGGCCCCGGGCCGCCGCCCTCCCTTGAGTCATTGAGGCGACCCGCAGGGCTGCTCTCCCCGCGGCAGATCTAACTCTGCGCCGCTGCTGCCCCCTGCAGGCGAGTGGAGGCTGTACTGTGTACGTGGAGAAGTGCCCGTCGAAGGAAACTTGCTGGAAGTGGCCTGTCACTGCAGTAGTTTGAGGTCCAGGACTTCCATGGTTGTGCTCAATGTAAATAAAGCCCTCATCTACTTGTGGCATGGATGCAAAGCCCAGGCCCACACGAAGGAAGTTGGAAGGACTGCCGCAAATAAAATCAAAGAACAGTGAGTGTTGTTATGTGAGGACCTCCCTGCAGGGAGCTTCCTGCGGGAAGCTACCCAAGCACCTTCCTGCTGTCAAGCACAGATTTGGGGACCAGGGACAAACCCATTTCTGTCCCCATGAAGCTTAGCAAGAAATAGTAAATATGTATGTAAAAGTATGTGAGTATATATCACCTTCACTGCATTTTATATGTGACTGTACCATCCTGAGGGCCAAGCTGCCCTCAAAACTGCAGGGCATGTTTTCATTCATTGGTAAGAATGTTTTAGTTGGAAGTGAAAGAGAGAAGGTGGCCTGATCTGTAGATTCCATCTTGAACTGGGTTCCGCCTGTGCTTCCAGGGCTCCTAAATAATTACTGGACTCTCTCCATGCAGATGTCCCCTGGAGGCAGGGCTGCACAGCAGCAGCAAAGTGACAATACATGAGTGTGACGAAGGATCCGAGCCCCTGGGTTTCTGGGATGCGTTGGGAAGGCGAGACAGGAAAGCCTATGACTGCATGCTGCAAGGTGAGGCACGTGCGTGGCCTTAGGTTACTGATTTATTCTCTTCATACCTGCTAAGCACATGCTATGACCACCACACTGAATTAAACCTAGGCTAGGTCTTCATGGGCCTGCAACCCCATAAGGAGGCTAAAGAACAGGGATGGCTAATTATAATGCCAAATAAGAATTTGATGCCACAGAAGAGGTGTTGAGTTAGGAGAAAGATTACTTAGACACAGCTCCAAAGAAGACAGGGCATTGACATAGAGCCTTGGAGGAAAGTATGACTCGAAGGGAAGAAAATTCCAAGAAGCCAGATGAGCAGATGCCTTCAGCCTGGCCAGCATGCAGGTTGCAGGGCAGCAGTGCAGTTCAAGTTACAGAGTAAGTCAGTTTTATATTGAAATACACAAAATACAGATCAACATAAGAAGGGAAGTTAACAATGCCTGGCTTATCCTGAATTGCTTAGTAATTGTCTAAGCATCTGATATACATCAACTCATTTACTGCTCCCAACCCAACACTGCCTTTTTTTTTTAACCAAAGAGGAAACTGAGGCACAGGGAAGTTCATCAACTTGCCCAAGGCTGGACAACAATAGAGTTTACTCAAAACTACTCCATTATACTGCCTCTCAATTTTTTAAATAATGCATATTGATGATGGAAAATGTTTGAAAGTATAGAAAATTTAAGAAATCCCTTATCACATCTTGAAGATAACCAGAATTCACATTTCTGTGTGATATGTACATAACACACCTATTTTTTTTATTTGGATAGCATTATACATACTGTTTTGTAATCTGATTTTTCCCTTTATTATGAACAATCTCCCAGGTTGTTCCTATTTAGACTTTTAATGGGGAATTCCATGAATATTCCATAATATATGCCATTCTCTACTTAACCTGTTCTCCTCATTTTGGAGAGTTAGCTCCTTTTTTTTCTCTATTACGCAATAATAGAGTTGTGAATAATTTGTCTGCATTCACTAGGTAAATGCCTAGGTAGGCAACTGCTGTATTAAAGTTGGAAGTCTTACAGACATTTCAACAAGTGTCAAAGTATACATTTCCTAGAAAAATGTACAATCAGAGACTTGGTACATTACCATTTTCCTCTTTGCTAAAATTGATGGGGGAAAATTGCTATGTAAGCACTGTTTTAACTTAATGTTTTAAATTAGAACTATATATAGTTGACCCTTGAATAGCACTTATATGCAGGTTTTTTCAATAAAAATAGTACAGTAAGTTATGATTTTCCTCATAACATTTTCTTTTCTCTAGCTTTATAAGAATACAGTATATAATACCTATAACATACAAAAGTGTTGATGAACTTTATCAGTAAGGCTTCTGGTCAACAATAGGCTATTAGTAATTAAGTTTTAGGGAGTCAAAAGTTATACACAGATTTCCTGCTGCATGGACAGTTGGCATCCCTAGCTCCTGCATTGTTCAGGAGTCAACTGTACCATAAACACTTTAGGTTTTTTTTAATCATTTGTATTTCTACTTTGGTGAATGTTTTATTTGTGCTTTTGAACATTTTCTTTGAGATATTTATCTTTTCATTACATTCCTTTATATGTTAGGGATATTAAGTTTCCACATTTTCTATTTTGTCCCTTGCCTTTTTGTTTTGTTTGTAATTTTTCATTTTTATGATGCCAATGCATAAATTTCTTCTTCTTTGATCACTTCTTTTACAATTATGATTAAAAAGGCCTTCCTCACCTCACAGGTCAGATAAATCTCACCTAATTCTTCACTTTCTCTTTTCTTTCAAAGATCCTGGAAATTTTAACTTCACACCCCGCCTGTTCATCCTCAGCAGTTCCTCCGGCGATTTCTCAGCCACGGAGTTCATATATCCTGCCCGAGACACCTCTGTGGTTAACTCAATGCCCTTCCTGCAGGAAGATCTGTACAGTGCACCACAGCCAGGTATGGCCCACGGAAGAGGGTAATTGTGCCGAGCAGCAGATACACCTTTCTAAAAGCCTCTTTATTTTACTTCTGCATTTATTAAGCAGTTTTTATTTGCCAAGTACACTGCCAGAACAAACTTATATTATCTCATTTAATCCTTACACCTACCCAAAAAGGTGACATCAGTCACATATTATAGTATAAGAAACTGAGGCTCAGTTACTTAACTCAACCCAAATATTAAGTTAAGAATGGGTTGAACTGTGACTGCATCAGGCCTAGAGTCTCTCCTGCCTTCATGTGTTCCTTCAGGACAGAAAGGAGAGGATAAGATAAAAGGCAGTAATGGCCATGCCTTTCCCCTTATCAGGCAGAGCAGAGCTTTCCCAGAAGCCCCCAGCTGCAAAGAGCATCTGTTGAGTTAGCCAAAAAATAGTGTCTGCTGTATCAAGGCTATACCCTTGGGCCATGGCCCTCACCCCTGTCTTCTGATTCCAAGGTCAGGACGGTTTCCACTCAACCTCCACCTCTAGACAGGCCATGTGCTCTTGTTCTGATTGGGACAGTCAGTCACCTGAGTCTGGACCGTCCCTGGATGCTAGCGGCCCAGTTCGGCACATTAAAAGCTTGACAGTGCACATGTCATACTATGAGAAATATTAGCAAGTGTCTTCAAAGAGAGGCTGCTACCCACCCTCTTCATCCAGTGGCTCAGGATGGGGTGTTAACCTTTCAAGGTGTGTGTTGCACAGAATCCTGATATGGACGCTAGGAAAGGACTCGGCAAGCTGAACTAGCAAGTGTGAAAGCCCTTGTCACCTGGAATAAGGCAGACTGACGGTTAGATGAGGAAAGAACCATAGACTTACATCACCTGCAGAGCTGTCACACATGGAGCACGAATGCCAGTGACCTGCAGGGTGTGATGTTCTCCCCAGTTCTGCACACGGTCTTTGGAGACAAACGGTGCTGACAACCCCGTAAGTGGCACATATGTTGTGCCTGCCAGTACCCAGAAGGGCCGCTAGCAGGCTGGCTGATGAGGCAGGGAGAAGGAGCATGAGGAGAGAGGAAGAACAAGGCCCACATCATAGCTGCCTCCTCTTGCCTCGAGAGTGAGCTGGAAGCATCTGTGAAGATGTTCCTGATTGTCTGCTCTGTCCTTGCCCTCACAGCACTTTTCCTAGTTGACAATCACCATGAGGTGTACCTCTGGCAAGGCTGGTGGCCCATCGAGAACAAGATCGCTGGCTCTGCCCGCATCCGCTGGGCCTCCGACCGCAAGAGCGCCATGGAGACAGTGCTCCAGTACTGCAAAGGTGAGGCGTCAGTGCCCAGGCTGCAGACTCGGGGCGGGCCTGGTGGGGTGTGATGGAGCCAGGGGTCTTTTCCCTTCTGAGATCAGTCCAATCTCGGCTGCCCAGCACGAGTGAGGATTTGTTTTTCTTTTATGTTATGAGGCCATCTAACCTGTTACTCTTGATGTTAATGGGGCAATGCCCTGGACTGGTTAAATCCCTTTGGCACTCAGGATTAATCATGCTGCGGGCATGCAGGCCTCCACCCGCACACACAGCGCAGTGTGTGAGAGGAGAATGCTCCTCTAAATGGCTTGAAAGCCACTGGCAGCCTTTTTATCAGTCATTTTTATTTTTAGTATTATATCTAAAAAGAGCTCTATAATTAGTTCATAGTTTTTTACTGTACTAACTGGCCACCTGAAACTTGTAGTATTTCATATAAACTGAAGATACCAGTGACTAACTCACCTGTATTTTCAAAGTTTTATTGGTTGGTATCATTGAGTTTGTGCCATCAATTCTCTCTTGAAAAACTTAAACTTTCCACCAAATATTTAGGCTCCAGTGCCTTATAAAATGCTGCCATCAGCTGTTTAATTCATACTGAACTTAATTCTGCCTTAGGAAGTCAGAGGAATACTTCTACAGGTGATCATGGGAGGGCGAAACTATCCCCCAGAAGCCACAGAGAGGCTTCCTTGCATCCAGAGACCTAGAAGCATTTTGTTAGGTTCAGGATGTAGAGAGTCACGTCAATTACATGCAAACTCACATGGATAAAATTAACATTTCACATAAACATTATCCATGTGTTGTTAGGAACTACTCATAGCTTCCACTTGCAGCATGAAGTCCAGAGAACCAAACAAAGAAGGAAAGATTTCAAGGGAAATCAGAGAGAGAGGATCTCGGGACCCAGCCCAGGTATACTGACATTTGCCTTCTGTGAATCTGCAGGAAAAAATATCAAGAAGCCGCCCCCCAAGTCTTACCTTATTCACGCTGGCCTGGAACCCCTGACGTTCACCAATATGTTTCCCAGCTGGGAGCACAGGGAGGACATTGCCGAAATCACAGAAATGGTGAGACGCTTTTCTTCCCTAGGAAGGTGGTTCCCCGGCCTTTCGGACTGTGAGCCGACTGCCTTGGGGAGAACTATCCAGCTGCACTTTTGTAGAATTAGAAAGAAGAACAGCCTAAGGAGAAGTCAGTCAAACTAGTTTAGTAGTTTTCTACACGTAGTGCTCAAATTTAAAACACTTAAAAGTAAAGGTGAATTTAATTACTTTGGAGAATATACCTAAGTAAAAGCTGCTGTCTCTGCATTCAGTAGGCTAAGTATCTGTTGCTTCTCAAGGCCTTGTAAGGCCCAATGAAGTCCTCAGGCTTCAGACATTCACCCTGTGGTAGACGAGACACAAAGTCAACCTGTGGAGAACTAGAAACTGAGCGAACAGATGTGTAGGGGTTACTCCCAGCAAGATAGCGCTTAATGTCTCATTAGTATTGTCTTTTATAAAACCACCTGAAGCATTTATCATAACCTGTATTTACCAAAACATTATCAGCCAGAGGTTATCATTTCCAACCACACCAAAAAAAGGAAGCTTAGCTTACTACCACTATGTAGAATTTCTTAGTTTATAACATCCGTAACACAGCAGTTTCAAGAGCTTTTTTATTCTTTTGGTTTGGTGGGAAATACGTTTGTTCCGTTTGGGTTTTCTTACTGTGTAGGAAGAGCCACTCTTCCAGGGGAGATACCAAGACTTCCTGTAAAATACTCTTGTAAGTTTAAACAAACAAAAAAATTCCCTGCTCCTTAACAACAGAGAGGGCCTGTGTAGTGTGAGCCTTACCTCTGCTCTGCAGCCCAGTGGGCTGGGTCTCCCAGGGCAGCCTGCTCTCTGACACAGTTGTAGTGAGATGGCTCTATTCACAATAAATATGTGATCCATGGAACCTAAAAACTCCAGGGAGTATGAGCCTCATACAGTCAGAGTTCAAGGACATAGATCAGCACCATTTTTCTGTATTCACTAGCACTCAGCAGGGGCTGTACAATGTCTTGCGGAGGCCTGCAGGCTTCCAACCAGTGCCCAGCCGGGCTTCCCACGCCAGCACGCTGTAATGACCGTGGACTTTCACTGAGTGCCCACTGTGTACCAGGCATGGCTCCAAGCACTTCACATTTGTTTTCTCCTTTGATTTTGACACCAGTCGGTTAAGATTCATCTCATTATCATCATCCTTATTTTACTGGGGAAGGAGCCAAGGCTCAGAAACATGAAGTACCTTTTCTCAGGTGTACTCTGAAACCCACCTCTTGACTACTAGTCTGCACCAGGTATTGATGCTGAATTCAGCAACGTTAGTCACTCACCTTCACCCCACCACCAGGGAGGGTAGCCAGTCTGGGATCCCAAGTTTAACAGAGGAAGATGATTTACCTGAAACAGTATTTTCAGAATAAAGTAAATCTTGATTCAGCATCATATTCTAAGTAGATTAAGAAATGGAATGAGAGGGGTTATGTGATTCTTTTCAGGTTAATTTTTTTAACTATTTTACAACAAATTCCATTATTTGAATGTTTCTGGTGTTGAGACTTCACATTTAATAATCTTATGTCATAATTCGCTCATGTGATAGTTCCCAAATGTTCTTCCTGGGGCAGCCTCAAGACAGAATTTATTTGAAACATTTTGGTGGGGCCAAGAGACATCTAAAATTCAGGAGAACGGAGGGGCTTTGGGCATTTTCTTTCCATTTCGGAGTCTCTTTCCCCCTGAGCAAGCCTGTCTGGGCTGCGGATGGGACAACACTGTGTATTTGCAGAAAGCACATGTTCAGATATGCACACTGCTCCCTTCTCTTCCCTAGGATACAGAAGTTTCGAATCAGATCACACTCGTGGAAGATGTCTTAGCCAAGCTGTGTAAAACCGTTTACCCACTGGCTGAACTCTTCGCCAGGCCACTGCCTGAGGGAGTTGATCCTTTAAAGCTTGAGATTTATCTCACTGATGAAGACTTTGAGGTAAGTGCGTGTCTAGGTGGGACAGCAACACACATGGCTTGTATGAGAGTCCTTGTACTCAGCCACCGGGTGTCTCTCTCGATTTCAGTTTGCACTAGACATGACCAGAGAGGAATACAATGCACTGCCTGCCTGGAAGCAGGTGAACCTGAAGAAAGCAAAAGGTCTGTTCTGAGTCGGGGAGATGCTGGTGGCACCGTGTCATTGCTTTCGATACCACTGGACCAGAAAAATGGATATTTCTTTGGATTGGTATTTGAAAAAATAGTTTTGAATCAAGAGTTTTCAAAACCTGAAGCTGTTAGCTCTACTGCTTGTCCTGGGGTTGTGTATTTTGTAAATGTTTAAGAGCCCTATTTGGAATTCCCTTTCCACGACTCAGCAGGTATGTTAAGAAAAGTATCCTCACATGCACTTGGGCAGCGCTTCCTCAGCAGCTGCTAGGAGCACAGCCCTCCTGTTCCTGTGCCGCCTTTTTGGAAGCAGTTCTCTTTATAAAGTGTTATTTTGATAGTTTGTGGATTCTAAGATATATATATATATATTTATATAAACACCATATAAATCAAATATGTATTTAACAAAGCAATATGTATTCATTCACTTTGAAGACTTTTTTTTCAGTGTCAAAATAGTACTAAAAGGTAGATAGAGTTGCTTCTATGGAATGAGTTTTGCCACCGATATGTATCCTCACACGTGTTCAGAAATGTCTCCTCCAGCGTGAGGTCTGACTTCTTCTGAGTGCTGCCTCGGTGCTACAGTGAGCAAAGATTTGTACTTCCTGGCATGGGCTGGGAAGCATTTGTGCAAATCCACCTCTCTACCTATTTCCCCAAAATGTATAGTGCCTTGTTTTTATGTACAGTTTATATACAGAAAAGTTTGCTCTGAATTTTTTTGATGACAGTTTGGAACATTATCTACAATTTTACTCTAAAATAGTAGAAATAAAAAACAAAACATCTCAATTTCTAATACCTGTCATAAACATTAAACGTGTCATTTTGCAATATTGGACTCCAAAATAAAAGCTTCAGAATAAACACCACTGATTGGTTCACATTGACTGCCAACCATGTTCCTTTTCTGAGAAACATTTCACCATTAAGTGTTAATTGACATACCCAGTAATTTAGTTGAAGGTAACATTTTATACAAGGCCATAAAAGTAATTATTCAACCCCTGAAAATACTCTGTTGAGAACACATTCTGACAAATCATCATTCAACAGAAGCTCTTTACAACTTCATCTATATCTCAAGTTCAGGATATTGGTGTGTTTTTAAAAATAATGAATATATAAGGCATGTAGCAAACTTAAAAATGAGTTAGAAAATTCACACGCTCTTACATTCTTACAATCCCAGATTGCTGGTTTTGAGCAAATTCTGTAGACCTCCTGTGAGTTGTTACTGAGTGCCCCTTTCCTTTTGATCTACGTTTAACCCATCAGATAACAGCACATTTGTCTTAAACCTCATCACTTGTGTGCCCCTCGCCCTGCACTACACCAGGGCTAGGGGCCTGTAACCCACTCAGGGTACCACCACTTTATGACTGTGTGATACTGGGTCGTTGCTGAACTTCCCCACCTCAATTTCCTCTTTTTCAAATAAGGAGTCAGTAGTGGCAATCCTGCCACATCACAGGATTGATTCTTGGCAAGGAGCAAGAGGAAGCTCTTTGAATATCGTCAAGCACCAGATACCTGCTGGTGTTCATATTTCAGTTACAGAGGCTAAAAGAGGAAAGTATAAGAGTTGGAAGTAAGGAATGTAGTCATATACCTAGAAATTACAGGTTAAACGGAAACAAAACCTCCCAAGGAAAATAAATGTAAAAGGAAAAGTAGAGAGAAGGTTTCAGAGTATATGTCCCATAGGTAATTTACAAAGAGGAGCAGAGAAGTCTTTATATAAACAGGCAGGGCTGCCTGCATGGGGACAGTTCAAAAGTCACCTGGGCTTTATGTCCACAGAAAGTAACTCAGGTTGCTAGAAGAGCTTCCAGTAGAGAGCCTATTACAGATAATAAAGGTGTCATCTGCAATTTTCATTAACACCAAATTGCCCCAAAGTGCTTTAAAATCCGGTAAACCTCCTTGTATTATCCCCCAGTGTGCACTGCCAGCATGCTTCTTGCCCTCTGCAAGTAGGGCACCCAAATTACATTCCAAATTATTGTTTACCTGCTTCCCTCCAAGTTGTTTCCTGATCTCTTTCCTGCTTACAGAACTAGATCCTCTTACTTGGTTCTTCTGATCCTTTTCTCTTCATTGCTGCAACCTTTGACCTTTGTGTACTGGGAAGGACCTGGACTAAAAACATGAGATGCTAAATCTTAACTCAGTCCATTAAGTTGCATCGGTGCTTCAGGCCTTTCTCCACTGCTACTCAAACAGCAAACCACACTGGTGAACTTTTATAAAACATACAGAGTCAGCGAATTGATGTTTCCTTAATTTGCTGCTTTTGAACCCGCAGACTTTTAAAGAGGGGAACTGATCTCTGGGCTTGAGATTGATAGCAGAGCTGGAGTGGATACATGAAATGGCATGTGTGTTCTGCAGGTCTGGGGGATGGTATGAGTGGAAGTGGTTCCAGAGTAGAGCCATCATCTCTGTTCCTCCTGGGTGTGCCCTGGGAGGCACAGGCAAAGCCTGCTCACCAGCCCACTTCTTTTTCTTCTTATTTTAAAACTTCAGCCCCAATGGTACAGCTTCTTTTGATAAAAGGAGGTACATTCCAGAAAAAGCTTGAAAACCCATTTTGGTCCTTCTCTTGTTCTTTTCTGTCTACCCAGTGACTTACATGTGTGTTCATAGCAGCATGATTCATAATAGCCCAAACCTGTAAGCAGCCCACTTGTCGATCAACTGAGAAATGGATAAACAAAATGTGGTACATACATAGAGTGGACTACTATCCGTACAGCAGAACACTGTCCAACAATATGGGGAACAAACTACTGATACATGGCCCAACACTGATAAATCTCAAGAGTATTACTGAGTGAAAGAAGCCAGATACAAAAGGCCACATATTGTTTAATTCCATTCATACAAAATTTCAGAGAAGGCAAATCCATTCAGGCAGAAAGCCAGTCAGCGGTGGATGGAAAAAGATGGGAGTGAAGGTTGGCTGCAGACGAGCATGTGGCAACATTTTTTGGGGTGACAGAAACGTTCTAAAATGACCATGGTGGAGAGTCTAAGATGGCAGGCAGCATAGGAAGGGCCCAAACTCACCTCCTCCCACATACACACCAAACCTGCACCTGCACACAGAGCAGTTCTTCTGGAAGAAGATCTGAGGGTGAGTGAACAGCTTCTGCACAGCAGAGGATAGAGCAACAGGAGAGGCAGGGACACAGCAGTGATGGGGACCCCACCCATGAAACAAGGCTGCACTGAGAGGGATGTCACTGAGACCTGTGCACAGATCACTTGCCCTTGAGCACAGTAAAAAAGTGCAGTTTGAAGGGCAACTAGAAAATAAACAAAGGAAACCCATTCACTAACACTAGAGCATCCACCAAACAGTGGGGGGCCTGCTGAAACTTCTCCAGGAACAGGGGTGCTGGCAAGCGCCACTGTTTACATTCCTCCTCCACCTTGATAGCACTGGCAGGAGCAAGTTCCAGGTGCTTAGCCAGCCTGCCAGCTCAGTGGGCCCCAGACCCCACAAAAGCTCCATAAGTCCCACTGAGGCAGCACTGGCATGGTGTACTCTGGGACACCCCTGCCCCCTGCCTGCTTCAGCTCCAGTAATCCCACCAGGGCACCCCCCCTGCATGGCGTGCCCAAGGACCCACCCTCGAGCTGCACCTGCTCCAGCTCCTGTCAACCAGCCAGGGCAACCCCTGCACAGAGGTCCACGCCTGCCATCCATGCCTGCCAAGACTTTGGCCCTCCTGCTGGGGGGCACCATCTCAGAGTGGCCCAAAACCCCCAGCCCACACTCACATTGGCTCCAGACATCCCACCAGGGCAGCTCAGTGCAGAGCTCAAAGGGACCCCTGCCCAAGCCTGCCACAGCTCCAACCAGCCAGCCAAAGCTACCAGGCACACAGTCTACACAGGACATTCCTACACAAGGTCCACTGCTTCAAGAAGCTGTTTTTCCTAATTCATGAAATAAACAAGAAAGAGAAGTATGCCTCAAATGAAAGAACAAGATAAAGATTCTGAAGAACTAAAAAAACAGTTAAGCCATCTAACTGATGAAGAGTAATGATTATAAAGATGCTCACCAGACTCAAGAGAAAAATGGAGAGCTCAGGAAAGACAATATAAAACATAAATACAAAATATAAAAAAGACCAATCATAGATGAAGAATAGAATAAATGAGATTAAAAAAAATACACTAGAGGGAATCAAGAGCAGTTTAGAGGATGCAGAAGAATGAATCAGCAACCTGGAAGACCAGGCAGTAGAAAGCACTCAAGCTAACAACAAAGAGAAAAAAGAAGTTTAAAAATTGAGAATAGGTTAAAGGACCTCTGGAACAACATCATGCACACTAGTATTCACATACAGTGATCCCAGAAAGAACAGAGAGATAGAGGCTGAAAACTTCCCTAACCTGAGAAAGGAAACAGCCAGGTCTGGGATGCACAGAGGAGCCCCAAACAAGATGGATCCAAGGAGGTCCACACCAAGACACATCATGATTAAATGGCAAAGACTAAAGACAAAGAATCTTAAAACCAGCAAAGAGAAAAGCAACTAATTACATACAAGGAAAGCCCCATAAGGCTAGCAGCTGATATTTTTAGCAGAAACTCTACAGGCCGGAAGGGGGTGGCATGATACATTAAAAGTGCTCAAAGAGAAAAACCTCCAACCAAGAATATTCTACCCAGAAAGGTTATCATTCAGAATGGAAGAGGATATAAAGGGTTTTCCAAACAAAGGAGTTAATTGCCATTAAACTGGGCTTGAAAGAAATGTTGAAGGGACTTCTTTAAGCAGAAAAGGCCATAACTAGATGAAAATTATGAAAGGAAAAAATTCTCTGAAAAAAGCAAAAATATAGTAAAGGTACTACATCTTTATAGTAAAAGATTTACATCTTTATAATAAAGCTAGTATGAAGAATTAAAGACAAGGTAGTAAAATCGATTATATCTAAAAAATTAAGGGAATCACTAAATAAAAATATGTATTATATGACATCATATATATAAAACATGGCAGAAGGGGAGTAAAAATGTAGCGCTATTAGAATGTGTTCAAACTTAATCAACCATAAACTTAATATAGACTGCTATGTTCTTAGATGTCATATATGAACTTCATGGTAACCACAAACCAAGACCTTAAGAATCTTAAAACACAAAAAATAAAGAGGAGTCCAAACTAAAAGTCATCTATCTTGAGGGAAGAGAGCAAGAGAAGAGAGAACTACAAAAACAATAAGAAAACAATAAAATGGCAATAAGTACACACCTCAATAAGACTAAACATAAATGGTCTAAATGCTTCAATCATAAGACATAAGATGTCTGAATGGATAAAAAAACAAAACCCATCTATACACTATCTATAAGAGACTTGCTTCGGATTTAGACATGTATACACTGAAAGTGAAGGGATGGAAAAAATATTCATTGCAAATGGAAATGAAAAAACGCTGGGGTAGCAGTACTTATATCCAACAAAACAGGCTTTAAAATAAAGACTAACAAGATAGTAAGAAAGGCATTATATGATAAAGGAATCAGTCTATCAAGAAGATATAAAAATTGTAAATATATATATTACATAAGGGGAGAAATTAACAGTAATACAATAATAGTAGGGGACATTAAGACCTCCCACTTACATCAATGGATAGAGCACTCAGAAAATCAATAAGGAAACAGTGAATTTGAATGACCCGTTAGACCAGAGGGACTTAGCAGATATATGCAGAACATTCCATCCAAAAACAGAATACACATTTTTCTCTAGTGCATATGAAACATTCTCCAGTATAGATTATATGTTGGGCCACAAAACAAGTCTCAATAAATTTAGGAAGACTGAAATCATACAAAGTATCATTTCCAACCACA